ATACTGGTGCCACCACAGAATTCCCTACTTACAACCTGTCACAGAGGATCGACATACCACGCCTCGAGCACCTGAGACGTACCTAGCCATCGCCCCGACGCGTGCGAGTCCGCAGCTCAAATAGGATGAGATCATCGAGAGGATTGCAGCCACCGAGGAGGAGGAGCTAGAGGCCTGGCAGGAGGTGAGCGAGCATGATGACAGCCTCGACGATGACTATCGCCTATTCCTCGAGATGCCTCCACGCAGACCACGATGCAGAGGGCGGTAGCTCCGATTCTGCTCCACGCTGCCTGCAGCAGCACCCCGCCTCATTGCTATTCTTGAGCGGATGCAGCAGACATAGGATAGACAGCACAGAGAGACGGTGCTACTTTTGCCCGGGCCAGACTCGACAGAGACGAGTTCCAGAGGCAAAGAAGAGCAGCATGCAAAGAAGAAGCAGATGAGCAGATGCATCAACAGCGAGATACTCTTGCAAAGCAGCAGCTTATGGGTTTCATGCAGCACGTAGTGACAGCTCTTGGGGCCCCACAACCATAGACTTCGCCCCAACTTGCTCAGCCTGCTTCCACCACGACGACTCCAGCTATACAGCCTAGCGGGCTTTAGGGTCAGGAATAGCCTCCAGCTCAATTTGCTTCGCCTCTTGTACAGGTGTCCCAGTGGTTGGCCTCACCCGTGGTAGCCCCTTAGTTCACTCCACTTCAGACGGGCTTCACTCTAGAGCAGTCCTCCTCGCTATTCGTGCCTGACACGTCAGTCTCCAGGAGTCTTGGAGCATCCTTCAGCGAGTTGACCGACATGCCTACTCCGCCTCATATGCATTCATTACGCGGTCGTCGTCTGATGAGACCCAGTCATTGTGACTACTCAGAGGCTCCCCCTCGTCTGTCGCCTCGTCGAGATCCCCACGAGCAGACATACTAGCTAGCGACTTCACAAAGACCAGCACCGGCCCAGCTCGAGACCTGCACCGCTTCAGCAACACTTCCCGCCACAGGGAGGGTCGACCAGAGCTCTGTGGTCGATGATGATGGTGCCCGGTTCCAGCCTTGCGTTCACGTTCTTCAAATACTCGACTCGCTCTCTGCCATCGCCTACCGTCCAAACCCCTAGGTTTTGGTGTTTGACGCCAAAGGGGGAGAGGGTGTTCGAGTATGTAGTCTCAGGGGGAGCTACATTTAGGGGGAGCTAGTTATCTAGTATTAGCCTATTATATACATTTGGAGTTCTATTTGTGTGATACACTATTACTTATGCACTCGTGTGTTTACTTTCCTGCATACTATTATATATATGTGATAGTGCTATCTACATGATTGTGATATTTGACATGTGTGATTTCTACTTTGCATTATCTATATGTCATATCACTTGTGTTATGCTCATTTGCTTTTGCTTCCGCGTTTATATTTCGAAGCAAATGAGCTTTATTACTTGTACTCATGCTTAATTCATATCCTTTGAGTACATTGTGTTGGCTTGGGTCATATAAGCTTGCCTAACTCTTTTGTTCTTAACGACAAAAGCTTATATGAACCAAGCCCGTCAAAAACCTCATTCCATAACATACTCGAGGTGGTATTGTCATCAATCATCAAAAAGGAGGAGATTGAAAGCATCTAGGCATCTAGGCCCCTAAGTGGATTTCGGTGATTAATGTCAATACAAGATTACTATGACTAACGTGTGTTTTGCAGAGGCAATTAAGTTAGGTCATGGTAATGGAGATCGATTGGGCAATTGAGGTTGTCATGCCCCTACGATGGAAATCGTTTCGGTTTTCAAAGGATGGACGACAAGGTTAAGGATAACTAGTTCTAAGTGTCAATTGAAGTTGGAGAGACACTTAGAGTAGTTTAGAACTTTGGCTTTCCTTTGGCCGTACTATGAAGGGGGGTATGAACGGGTAGCTTGACCTAGTTGAGTCTAGTGAGTTAGGTATGGTGCACACTTGTTAAAACTAGCTCTAGGTAGCTCCTATGAATGCCTAAGATCCTTTGGAGCAAACTTCATTCACAAATGATCGAGAGTTGGAAGTGAATGGAGGGTCAAATACTGACCGGACGCTGGCTCCGGTGCGACCGGACGCTGGCCGCAGGGTCCGGTCAGTTCATTTGACTAAGGAGAACAAGTCTGGAGTGACCGGACGCTGGAAGGTCGTGTGACCGGACGCTGGGGGCCAGCGTCCGGTCGACTCCAGTAAGGGTCTAGACTTGAGAAAGTGTGACCGGACGCGTCCGGTCAATGATGACCGGACCTCGAGTATCCAGGCGTCCGGTCGTTCATGATAAGCATTCAAGATCGACCGGACCAGCGTCGGTCAAGGCCGACCGGACCTCGTCTCGTCCGGTCATCACTTGAAACTGTTATGTTGGAGTTGAACCGACCGGAGCGTCCGGTCAATACGATCGGAGCGTCCGGTCATCCCGCAGAAGCTCATAACGGTTCGTTTTTTAGGCTGCCTTATAAATAGAAGCTCCACTCGTATGTGGAGTTACTTTTGCTCATTCCAACAGCTGAGAAACATGTTTGTGAGTGCCAAGAAGAGCAAGGTCCTAGTGAGGTGTTTGTGATTTGAGAATCCAAGAGTGAAACCTCATTAGTGAATCAAGAGTAGACAAGTGTGCATCCATCTTCTCATTAGGCTTCGCGTGGTCAAGTGAGAGTTCGTGCTTGTTACTCTTGGTGATCGCCATCACCTAGACGGCTTGGTGGTGATTGGGAGCTTGGTGATCACCCGGCGGAGCTTGTGGGTGACCCAACTCAAGTTGTGAGCGGTTTTGGGTGATTCGCCGCGACGGAGTATCGAAGAATCAACCCGTAGAGAGCACTTGATCCTTACGCGGATCAAGGGGGAGCTACACCCTTGCGCGGGTGCTCCAACGAGGACTAGTGGAGAGTGGCGACTCTCCGATACCTCGGCAAAACATCGCCGCGTTCCTCTCTCCATTTACTTTGAGTATTTACTTTAAGTATTTACTTTGAGCAATTCAATACTCGTCTTTATATTTATAGAATTGTTATGCTAGAGTAAGTTTGGAACATAGATTGCAAGTCTTTTGTGCGTTGATTTGATATAAACACTTTTTCTAGGCACAAGGGGTTAATTGGGCTATCCGTAGGATTTGATTATTGCAAGAAAATTTAGAATTAGTCCAATTCACCCCCCTCTTGGGCATCTTGATCCTTTCAAGGGGGAAAAAGGGAGAGGGCAACAACGCGTCTAATTGAAAGATGGCCGGGGGCAGCGGGGTCATTTCCCGTGCCGGTGCCAGCGTGTCAGCACGAGCTGGCGTGCCACATAGGCGAAAGTGGTAAAAATGAACGGAGCATGAACTAAAACGGCTAAATTTGTAAGCGTCATTCTAAGAGTGCGATTTCTGTAAGTGACGATAGTAATAATGGTAAATATGTAAAAAGACCAGAGTCTTGCGCGAGGCTGGCGGGGCACACTTGCCAGTGATTAAGGCGCGTCGAGACGCGGTGGCTGACGCCGTCTCTGCAGGCCCACCTGGCGGCGGATGGAGGCTTCTCAAGGCGTGCAGCGCAGCGGTGCCACCGACGCAACAGCAAACGGACGGACGGACGGAGACCGGGTTTGCCTTGGGTTCCCACTTCCCACAGTCAGCACGTGAAGTCAAAAGCAACGCACAACGATTTTTTTCCTCCCTGCAAATCCAGTCGGCATCTCTCATACAAATCGCATTTACGAGAGGACTGGACTGGGAAGGACTCGTTCCAAGAACAAGAACGACATCTCCACCCAAGCAGACCAAGCTGGAGTAAAAGGTCCGCGCCTCCGCGGTGCGTGCAAGGCTGCCAAGCAGCACACCACACAAACGAACACCTCCGTCCGTCCTGAGAAATCAGCCAGCTTTTTTTTCCAGACTTTGACTAATTATATATAAAAGAATATTAATATTTATAATACATAATTAGTATTATTAGATAGATCGTTGAATATACTTTCACAATAAACTTATTTAGAGATATAAATGCTATACACATTCTCTACAAACCTAGTCAAAGACCTGTTCGACTGATGGTTTCTGTGGCTGATCAGTCGGCTGATGTTATTTTGTTACAAGAGAAAAACATTATATCATGGTTGATAAGCCGGACTGATAAGTTCAAACGCATCCCATAGACCTCTATTTTGGGCCAGACAAAAGGAGCAGTGGGCAGTGGCCACACTGGCCAGTACAGCACAGACCGCTGAACCAAACTACTTCCATGGCCGCTGCACCCAGCAGATCACATCATTCTGCCTTGCCTTGCTCTCAGAAAAATAAAAAATGGGCTAATATATGCCGATCCCAGCATCACCAATACAAGATGATTCCTAAATACTACTACTTGGATACTAATAAGCATTAATGCCAGCACCTCTTGTCTTGTCCCATGCATTGTGTACCAAATTTCTTCCACCTACATACAGGTTTGTTCGGATTGGAATCCCCACCCAATCCTCAAGGGTGTATGTATAAGAGCAAGCCCTTCATGGTTATGCTATCCACTACCACTTGCACAAGACGACCTACATATTATATACCTAAGTACAGCCGAACAACCACCTTCAAACAAATCAGTCAATACTCAATATAGGCACACGCCATTGCGCATTGCCAAAGGGAGCTGTGTCAGTGTTAGCGGCGACCCAAAACTCCACCTGTGCAGGACAAGTCCCCATGCCCATTTTTCATTTAATCTAGAGTTCATACGACGAGAAGCGCCAACACATCAGGTGAAAGTAAGTTTCACATGAGGCAATGCATCAGGTGCCGCGTGTTAACAGGTCAGGTGCTGAGAGTGCTACTAAACAAAATGACCCCATATCTTTTTTCGCGTCAAGGAACACAGGGAGCCTTATCTCCTCGCTAAGTAACCCCCCTGCAATACTCAAGGGAGGCAAGGAAGTCCTGGCTCATACATCCTCCATTTCCTTCTACAACGAGGTTTGTCCCTGCTATGCTGTCTCTTTTTCGTTGAAAGACCACACGGAGGACTGTACATCGGGACTTGGCGAGCAAAATAAGCCTCCTCCGCCTCCAACAGGTGCGCTGGATGGCAATGAAAATTGGCCGCCACCTTCCTGGGCTCCATTCAGTATCAGCTCCTCCCTGCATACATAATAACCCCAACAAAGTCGTCAGATCCAGTGTTTTCACTTTATCAACAAACGATGCCAGTATGAATGTATGTATGATGATATTACTACCAGGAAAAAGAATGAAGTAAGATAAGATATGGATAGTTGAAATGTTTTGTCACTAAAACAGAAACCAAGCAGTGTGATGCAGACAACCACCCAAAGGGCACAACCCATGGTAAAAGTAAAAGATTTCAGGCACCCAGTGCCATCCAGACCAAATGAACTCAATTTCAAGCCAACAGCTTCCAGGGTACAAGTCGTAAACTTGAAACAAGCAAATTCAAATGGCAATAGACTAAGTCCAACGCAAAAACAATCGAATCTTGTATCTTAAAACCATAGATATGAAAATTTTAAACTTCACAAATGGGATGGCGCTGGCCCATGTGTTGAACTAGTTATGCTAAGTTTCCATCAGCTTGGAGCCTGTTGATAGGTCAAGTGCTTCTGGCCTGTAGGAAGTAGGAACCAGATGGTCTGTCATACTACTTGAGTATTCAAAAATGACTCAAATGAACTAGTCATGCTAAGAAAACTGATAACCCAATTTCCATGTTCCCTTGAGCCAAATTTCTGTGGGTGGCAGCCCACTTGCGTAAATTGTGTGGTTGTCTCTCCTCCTAGAGACATCACCATGGGATAAGACTGAACACCCCATTGGGCCTTTGTCTTTTGATCCTCCTGGAACTCTAGTTGTATCCTAACTGGACTAAAACTTTCATCTCACATGGATCAGGCTGCCTGCTCTTGCATCACAGCACCTTTACATATGCTTTTTAAGTATGAAGGAGCCTGCCCCAACCATGCAAACAAAAAAAAATGTAACAGTTACCACCTTTAAAAAAATCTTCATCGTATGTCTAATAAAGTAACAATTAAAACTATGCCCAATAATTAATAGCAAGGTCAAACAGGATGCAGTAACCAAACACCACTGATGAACAGCATACCAATCACCTACAGTGCAGAAGTTCAATGCTATCAAACTACATCTTTCAGAGAACATAAAACGTTAGCTCAACAGTTGCTCTCCATAAATAAAGCCATGCATTCATATGTTCAAGGGTTGTGGCCTTGCACAACCTATAGCAAATATTTAATCATCCATTTTGGACTTTTGGCGCCAGCCGAGTTTCATTCAATCAATTTGGACATTTGGCGCCAGCCGAGTTTCATTCAATCTCCATCTCATATAATCGCATTTCTTGGACATAAGACCATCCCAACCTTAGACATACAAATGAAACTAGAACACTCGCTATCAACCTATACGTATCTCATCAAACTGCATGCAACAGAACAGCTTAGCCTGCAGCAAGTTCTGATTTTGCACCATCTAAGTCTAGCCTCTAATTATGTCTCAAAAGAAGCAGCCCACACTATTTAAAAATACAAAAAATCAATGCAGCCAATGGATGATATGAACGTAGAAGACCATGATGTTGCAGGAAGCATCCTATAAAATCAAGTGTTTAGTCTGCTTATCCCCTCCAAAACTTCTCGTTGTAAACACAGAACCTGGGCAGTTATCAGACGCTTGAGTACCCCTGAGTTACTGTTGGAAAGCAAATCTTGACCAGACCACTAAATCCGAATATAATACAATACACTAAATGTTAGAGGAGCACATCATCAGGACCAGGGACAAAAACACTGGTTAATAATCTGATAATTCATGATGACAATTACCCATCTCCTCGGTTTCTGTACCCTTCTTTCTAATCAATTTAGACCTAGCAATGAATGTGCCTCTGAACTGCCTTAAGAAAAAGGTATTCACTTAGCACATAATTTCTAGCTGGGCTGAAAGAAACCCATGGCCAACTCATTGGTCAACCGTGCCATTGTTGTAACATAATCTTGACTGACAGACACATTTAGTGTTAAGGTTCAACAATCACGAACAGTGGAACGAATCATTCAAAATGACCAGACATATTCCAAGCTAGCTTATTCATTATGGCAGTTTGTCAATTCATCATCATCCTAATTCACGAGCAGAGTAGAACAGTTAATGCCATAATAACATCAATGGACCATGATCCATGAAAGTGAGAAATATCAGATACGCACATGTCCGGTTAAGTGTTCCAAAAAGCTTTAGTCACTAGACAGAAAATAGGGGAGTGCCTAGAGACTAGCTAGGATTAGGCAGACACTCTGGGTAGAGTATGTGGCAATTAAGCAGTAAGAACATCTAGGTGGACGCATTTAATAGTGACTGCAAAGACCAAAATTGGTGTGACTAACTCATGAAACATATAAAAAAAAATCTTGAAGCACCACTGCCCTGCCCCAGATTACACGTCTTTCTCATAAATAAGATCCACAGAGAACTCCCACCTAATGATTGGAGAATAAAGAGCACTGCTGCCTTAAATCTTTCAAAGAAGAAAGGATCATCCATACACACTCAGCATCACACACTCGATGGGTTCAAGTGTTCAACAATAAAGACGAGTATCAATTAAAAACTCAGCTATGCTAAATACCAAGATAATTCATTCTGCTTTTCAAAGGTTTCTAATTTCTGTACATATAAATGTCCTGGTTGAAGTAAGGAGTAATCCACAATCACACATGGAGATTTCACTCGTGTTTAACTATGTACATGCAAATTTAAGCAGATGTCATCAAATGATTATCATTAAAAAAATGTCAATAATTTGGTGCTTAAATGTATTGATACATGAAACTATACTAAGCAGTTAACTGCAAAACTCGAATGACTCACACAATAGCATGAAACTAGCATTGTCAACATCTGGGGAAAGGACAACAACTATTCAATAATGAGTTACTATACCAGATTTCTAGCTCAAGTGCAAATTATATGATGTTCAGTGATCATGAAAGCCTTTGTTGCAGCAAATTTTCTAAAAAGAAAAGAGGGATAGGAAACTACTTACTTGGGCCAAGAAGGACCAGGTGGTCCAAAGGGGTGTTCATGTGCTGATTTGTTTGGAGACCCAAAAACCAAGTCATTGCGTAATTTCCCTGGTATTTCATGTGGAAGGAACAGGCTTGGTGTATCAGGTGGCAATCGCTGGAAAGGTGCTTTCTGCAGCCATGGATCACTGTCATTCAAACCAGTACCCAGGGGGCCTTTTGTTCCACCATTGAAAAGATTGCCACTATAGTTTAATTGATTTGTCTGTCGAGGCCACTGACTCTGAGGGCCTTGGAGACCTAAACTTTCATGAACCAATGGCGTGCTCCACATTTGCCATGTGCCTTGCTCACTGCTAGCCTCAGGCTGAATAGGACCACCAGGCCTTTTTGCAACTAATAAGTGCAGGGGCTTGATAGGCTTTTCTTCAACCATACGAGATCTAGAGAGAGGAGACTCAATTGGTGAAGGCCTCCCATGTGATTTCTTGGCGACATCACTCGAGATGAATCCACAATCCAAGTCTGGAGGGAAGTTATCTAAAGACTCTGAAACTGGCCCAAGCAATGCGATTGCATCTGGATCATAGCATGGGTCCTCAAACTGTTCTGAATCTTCAAATACCACAGATTCTGCATCATCATAGAAAGGCATATGTCCAGCAGGAAAATGAGGTAGTGGCTTATTGGGAGGTGCTCCATTAAGCGGTGGAAAACCTGGAAATTGCATGGACTGGCTTGAATTTGGCTTGCTGTCCAGAGGAGGATACTGAGATAGAAATGTATGAGCATTGCTTATTTGCACTCCATTTGGTTCTGGCTTCTGGTTCATATCACGAGCTGAAGTTGTAGCATCAGGACAAGGGGAGACTGATGCTGAACGACTAAACAGCTGGTGCCATGACTTTTTAAAGCTGGTAGGGGCTGGCTGCACATTTGGACTAACCTGCATAGAGCAAAATACAAAAAGTGGAAGATTTAAGATGGAAATTCAGGTAAAAACAGCTAATGCAACTGGTTCTAACAACAAGATTTGACACTGAAGTAGCAATGCCCTTGTTACTCACAGGTCGATTAAAATTCGTCCATGACTTTCTGGTTTCCCCAGCTGAAGCGGATTTGGCTGCAGCTTGCATGGCTGCATGCTGGACATCTCTTTTGGCTGCATTACCCTGGTCAGTTGCAGGAACTACGGGTCTGCTAACCTTGTTAACTTGAGGGCAGGGGCCTGAGCACTTCTGCCAAAGAAGGAACCACCGCCAAACCCTCTTGAAGAAGATAAGAAACCACCTGTCATACGGCCGAGGTACTTCGCTCTGCTCTCCACTGTCTTATTACTATGATTGTTAGCTTCAAAGTAATGAGGCTTGTAACCCTCACGTCTGTCAGAGTCAATCTTTCTGTCGAAGGCTCTTTTCCTGTCACCTTCTCTGCCCAATCGCCTATCAATATCCTCACAATCTGAGTTACTCTTGCTTGACCCCTTGTCCTCTTTCTTCCTCCTCTCCTGGTGCCGCCTCTCTGCCTCCCTCCTAGCATCCTTCTCCCCAACAGGGGTAACGCTTTTGGACCGCTCCTCGGCCTCAGCTTTCTCATCCCTCAGCCTCCTGCGTTCCTCCACCAGCTTTGCCATCTCTTCCCGCTGCTTCCTTTCTTCCTCCTCCAGCATTTCCCTCTCCAGCCTCGCTAGCCTCTTCTCCTCTGCCTTCCTCCTCGCCTTCTCGACCCTGCTCTCCTCAGCTTTTCCCCCATTCTCCCCTCCCTTTGCCAACCTCTTACCATCTGGGCCCAAGCCCTCACCGTCCCCTGACGATGTAAATCTGAATATCTTCCTCAAGGGACACCTCACTGTTGCTGTGAAAAATGACAACAGCAGGTGCCATGAGAACCCCCAGAAGGAGGTACTGGCGCCGGCCGAGCAGCGCAGGTCGAGCCAGTCTCCGCAATCCTGAGCGCAAGGCCACCTGGAGGGGGCCTTCCCGGCCGAAATAAGGTCGAGCACGGGGCGCTTGGAGACGTGGCCGCAGTAGGAGCACATAAACTTGCCGCCGCCGGGGTTCTGGTCCCTGTAGGGGTTGCTGCAGTTGCGGCAGCGGCGGGTGGCGGTCTTGCGGAGCTTGTGGAGCTCGAGGGCTTGGGCGCGTCGCTCCTCGCGGAGGCGCGCGGAGCGGCGGGCGCGCCAGAGGGAGAGCCGCGGGAGGAGGATCTCGTACCAGAAGAGGGTGAGGAGGAGCACGGAGACGCAGGCGAGGCGCGGGGAGGTGACCTCGAAGCGGTAGGCGGCCGGGAGGAGCAGCTGGGTGGCGGCCCAGATGGCGATGAGCGGGACGACGAGCCACGGGAGCATGGTGGCGACGCGCCGCGACCAGCGCTGCACGGCGCAGAGCATACACATTGGGTTATCCGGCCGCCTCCGCTGCGCAAGCCCGCTGCTGGATCGCCAGCGCCGTCGGAGCCTTGAAGGGCGAGTGGGTCGGTGGGTTGCTTGCTCGGCGGGTAATGCTGCGATTCGATTTGGGGGAAGGGGAGGGAAAGCCTCGAATGGGGGAGCGGAATCGAAGCGGGCAGTCCCTTTTTTTGCGGCGATGCGAGATGCGGCAGCTAGGAGGAGAGCGTGGGGAGAATGGATTCGAGAACGGGGAGCTGGAGGTGGGCGATGGCCATGGCGAAAACCCTAGCTTTTTCCAATCCCTTTCTTCCCTCTCCTTCTCGGTCGGCGACGGAAGGGAGACGAAGCAGCAAGCCGTGACCGTGAGAAAACCAGGTAAAGCCACCACGCCATTTCTTTCTAATTTCTTTTCTTTTTTCCTTCCTTCCGGGAAAAGCCTTTATCTTCTTAATTAATTGTTAAGCAGTTTGAGATTAAAGCTACAGTTATAGAATTTTAGCTTTGACATTAAAGTGACTGAAAACGATAAACATGACTACTACTTAGCATGAATGGTAGCTTAACTTTACCGGGCTTAAGCGTTTGTACCCTTATTTTAAAGCGCATTTATATCCTCGTTTTTTTTTACTCTGTGATTCTACCCCTACAATTTCTAAATGAAGGAGGACATTACCCCTGGCCTATGAAAATCCCTTTAACGGTGTTAACTTTTAGACAAAAAGATAACTTTATCCATGCGTTTTACCCCTGTTTTATTATGTTATTTGTGTTTTACCCCTATTTTCAAACAGTAAGTTGATATTTTTTATACAGAATTTTCAGAAAGATTCGACAACATTTCAGCTGACAATCCACATAAACACAATTTAATATCACATAACTAGTACATATAAACCAGATCCATATAACATGTCATCAAAGTACCATAATAGAAGCCAACATATAGGTCCAAATGACATATCAAATACTAACATATAAGTCTAAATGACATGTCAAATAAAAGTAGGAGCTACTAGTGAGTTCTCTAGGCAATTAGTAGTGAGCTACATATCAAGCATCGAAACCTAACAAAATAGCAAGCCTCTAAGAAATTGCTCCTCTTCTCCTTTCTTCCTCTTCCCCTTCCTATAGCACTTACACTTTATATGAAAAAAGAGAAGAATTATATTAGTAAAGTTAATAAAATATATAGTAAAGAGAAGCACTTGCACTTGCAGGGTCTTAAGATTGATTTCATCCCATGACATAAATAGCAGTGACTACAGATGCAAATGAGCCTTCTGAAGTGTTCAGGGCTGACATTTTGGCCACTTTGTGTATAAGTATCAAGGACAGAAGCCCACATAGCATGTTCCAAAAAAAAAAAAAGAAGCCCACATAACATAACTACTTAAAGCTGTCCCTTGAACTCACTATCCACTAATCATCCACACAAGAGCTAGCTAGCAGAAGTTCAACAATTTTTTTTATTCATTGATTATCATAGAACTTCAACAATTAGTAAAGCTATACTCCCTTCATACTCAAAAATAAAGTCGTTTTAGTCAAGGCTTGGGTCAAATATTGGGAATATAAATCATGAATAACTTTTAAGTTGTTGAGTTTGGAAATGTGAAAACCATATGTATAGATTTGTCTTGAAAAATGCTTTCACAAAAATTTACATATATCACTTTTTGATAAATATCTTTATAAAAATAAGTAGTCAAAGTTATGCTTTGGAGACCGTATCGCTGTCCAAAACGACTTTATTTTTAAGTATAGAGGGAGTACAAGTTTTAAAGACTTATCTTGCCTTTAATTTCTTGCATACTAGAAAAGCGCGCGGCCTTGCCGTGCAGTGCCCGTATTCTGTCTAAGTATTATAGTTGATATAAAATTTATTTCACGTATGGAGTAATAATAAGATGTACACTTTTTTTAAGGAACGAGGTAAGACAAATCCTTGGCTTCGTTATTTTCGCTTAGGTGTCCTGGTTTGCAATAAAACGTACGTGGAAAGATTATAGGTGGAAATTATGTGTAATAATATGGAGCGACCTTAGTAGATATGTTAATATATACAAAATTTTATTGTATGTATTTAAATTACCTGTGTAGCCCTACAACAATGGATGTCATTGATATGTATTGTGTTAGTCATATAAGCAATTTTTATATAAAGTATAGAATTTGCAAAAAAAATTGAATTTTTGTAAATGGGCAACAACGTTCTAGACGTGGTTATTTAAGAGTACAAGCACATGCATGGATTTGAACCGGTGGCAATAAACCTTTGGTTGATTTGGTTTCTCAAATATTATTGTACAGATGCCAAATTGAGATTTACGGGCCGTTCGGCTGGTGCAAAAATTGCACTGTTCATGACTGAAAGTTACTGTTCACGGCTGATTTCCTCTCGCAAATTTCTTCAGATTCCTCCAAGCGAACAGGGCCTTAGAGCATGAGTATGTGAAAGTAAATGATAAATTACTTCAATATGTCAAATGGATATAGATGGAGAAACTAAATCGTTAATGTTGAATATTTGAAGCTCCACTAATGCGTAAGATATTATATATCTATTGCATAGATCTAGTTATGAGAAACAAAACAGAACTTGTTTTTTTATTTTATGAATTTTCTATGGTTTTATATAGATTTTATAACTTTTAACTGATTTAAACATAAAAGAAAAAGGAAAACCTAATAGGACAAACGCTTTGCACTTAGGCCCCTGTACATTTCCTTATTCTCAATATGCTCTGATGTACTGTCAACAACTGTTTATATAACTCAGGAGATTTTGCATTTGGAACACTGGAAAAGCTTCTATTCTCCTTTCCTTACCCACGAGTGCTCAGCAGAGTGCGGACGCCGGCGTCGATCCGGCCAGGGATGGACTCGGTGGCGGCGCCTGGGCAGCTGGCTAGCTATGCAGGGCCCTCGCGGTCCCGGGGCCAGCCGTGGCTCGGCGGGAGGTGGCAGGGGCCTGCTGACCGCGCGAACAGGCCTGGCGGTAGCGGCGCTGCTCAGTCACGACTGCGGCACGGCCACCGGGGATGGCCGGGAACCTTGACCGCAGCGCCGGCGGCGCCCGCACCCCGCTCGCGCTGGGGCGGCTGGCTACCCACCCGTCCCGACCACGTTACTGGGGCTCGATCTAGGGCGTCCACGTGCCTGATCCAACAGCCAAGAAATGGCGAGCGACATGGGCACGCTTACTAGCTCGCTTTTGGTGCGTGAATCATAGGTAGAGATGAGACACACTTTTCGACATATAATATGTGGCCCAAGGATTGACTATATATATGGTCTTCAATATCTTGTACCACTAACCTCTTAAAACAGCTCATACAATGAGTTCAAGTGACTGCTGAAATTCCGAGAAATAAGCATGCAAACAAGCATCTATTAGTAATTTATAATTTAGTATATTATTCATCCTCAGCTGTCATGCACTGTCCGAGCCTAGTTGTGCATAGGTAGGTTCAAGAAAGCATGATCACCTCCGGCTCTACACCCTGAGATCGACCGACAGCCCCATGCATATAAGCTCGGAGAGCTTTCACTACCGCAGACCAATTCTTTCCCTGCGGCGTGGAGTACTCCCGTCCGTCCGGACCTCCCGTCACGGGCGCTGCTCCTTCTCTGACGTGTGGAGCAAAACCGAAGCGGAAGGCATCCGCACCGTCAGGGACACTTAGGCGCCCCCGAAAAATCAGACCCGCGCGCTTTCAGCGTTTGTATGGCTCACGTGTCAGAGAGAGGAGACGAAAAGAATGGCGCGCAAAGAGGCGCACGGCGGCCGCGCACCCCGCGCAAGTGAAAAAAATCCCCTACCCTTATCCTTTCACCTGGGCGGACTCTTCCTATCTCCCAATTTCTTTGCCCTCTCCCCTCTCTCTCTCTCTCTCTCTCTCTCTCTCTCTCTCTCCGAAAGACGGCGGCGGACGGGCGGAGCACAACGCAACGCAGGCGATGCCGCCGCCGATGCGTGTCCGAGGTAAGCCCCTTGCTCCCTCTCTCTGTTCCCTCTCACGCCTTCTCCCTTTAATTTGCTTCCACACAGGGTCATGCGTCACTGCGCCGGTCATGGAAGAGGTTCCGGATGTGGCAGATCCATCAGCCATGAGCCGGCGAGGTTCCAACGAAGGGTGGCACAACACAGGCAAGGTCCACAGCGGCTTCACTTCCCCTAGATCCAGCGAGGTGAGCCCCTGCTCCTCGGTCCTCCCTCGCATGTCTATGGTGGGATCCAGCAAGGTGAGCCCCTGCTCCTCCCAGCACAGTAGGTCCATGGCGTTGCAGCCGCGCACAAGATACTTGCACATGGAGGAAGATGCCAAGATCCGGCGGATCCATGATATGGAGGCACCACAACCCCCGCGAGATCTATCTCCAATGTTCCTTATTCAACAGTTAAGTATCTGGCCATATATGTGAGGGAAAAGTTAAATATGTACCACCTAAAAGCTTGCTTATTGTCTTAATATGCCTTGTTTGAAAAGGCCAGATCTGCATAGTTTGAAGCTAGTTGCAAGTATTTTTATTGTTTGAATAGATAATGCCTTTCTACAACTAATTTTCGATCTAATTTGTTACGCGCTACATCCTCTTTTTGCTATCCGGATAATATTTTAAATCTGAACATTGTGGTTTTAAAGATAGGTTCTATACTAGTGCACTATCTTGTTGAAGTTTTTCGAACTACAAGAAGCTCCGTATACTTTTTTTTTTAGGAAGAAGCTCCATATGCTTCGTTGTACATCTTGATTATTTTTGTCCAACATAGAACAAAGACGTTTCTTATTACGAAAAGGAGCATATCCATCGGTGTTTTAGATTGTCCAAACCATTGCAGATATTTCTTTCATGGCTTTGTTTATCTATGGTACACATGAACACCGGCTAGGGAATTAATCTATTATGTGCTTGTTACAATTAATCATCTTGTATGCCAAGAGAGACTGTTATCATGCATATATGGAAGCAGGATCATGGTTTTAATTGTTCTTACATTTTTT